TATCACCGGTAAAAGGGTAAAACCGAACACTTTTTGGAAAATGTTAGGGTAAAAACGGACATAAAATTCAACTTTAGGCAAAACCGACAAAACCTTGAAAACTTGAGGGTTTTTATGACATTAGCCCTACATCTTAGCCATCCCACTACATAAAAGCATCTCCTAGGTCCCATTGATCTGAAAAGTGAAAATAGACCCTACATAATAATAATAATAACCATATAAATCAATTTACTCATAGCCGTTTATCACATAGTGACCTTTTTTTTTACAATTGAGCAAGGTGTACAACGAGGTGAGTTTAAATTGCAAGATTTTGATACTGTATTTCTTTTTGCAGTAAGGAGATGACTTTTTTTAATTTTTTTTTGCTGTGTGATTGTATATCTTTTTGCTTTGATATTCAATTCAAATGATTTTGCATGAATTCTAAAATATAATTTTAGGCCATCGAGGTGAGTTCAAATTGCAAAAAAGAAAAAAAATACATACTAATTTAATTCCTTTTCATTTATAGATAATGTTTCTTAAACTTTTTAATCGATCACCTACTAACCATAAATTAAAGTGATTTTACTCATACATGTATTTGGTTTCGATTCAAATTGCTATTGTATATGATTTTACTTTGTGGCCTTGTTAAACGTATATTTTTTGCATTTTTTAAGGTTTTAAAGGAGTGGTCTTTGAGGCTTAACGTTACGGTGTCACACTTCTCATAAGCTTTACATATACCTTCGTTTATGCCTATTAACTTTGTGGCTAGTAGGGATGGTGTTGATGGTAAAAAAAAAAAAAAGAAAAAAAAAAGGTTAAGAGAAATTCACCCACATTTCCATTGGCAAATTTGCCGCTCACCTTCGTCACCCAAGTTTACCGCCAACACCGGGCGGTGTTTGCTCGCCGGCAAACATGCCCACATCAGATGCCACAGACACTTCTTCCTCACATACCACTTAGCCTAAGACCTAAGACATAAGAATCAGTTCACTGCAATAGTATTTTTGTTGAATTACAAGTAATCACAACATTCTTACTTTTGTGTTTGCTAATTATAATTGTGGGTTTAGTAATTTTGTTTATTTATCATAATTTCATTTTGAAAAATAGATTACATCTGGGTTTATGTTAAATGTATGATATTTTGTATCAAAAGTTGACAGTTGACTACAAAATTAAATTGATATCATCTAGTTTGATTATTATTAAAAAAAAAAAAGATTACGGTGATGTTTTTGTCTAGAAATTTTTGTCATACATGTTAGAACATGTTAAGTAACAATATAAAAACATGTATTTACCATAAAAAAGAAAAAATAAGAAGCAATCAACAAACATAAACAGAAAGTGTACTAATACGAAATTTGCAGATTAGAAGTAGATAGAGGCATGCAAATATAATGTCTTAAGACAAAATTTTGTCCCTATTCGTCCAATAGTTTCTAGACTTTTGCATTTATGATATAACTATCTCTAATTAAGTTCTTGCACGAAAACTTAATTTATGGAGAATCTATAATATGAAATCATGGAATTTGAGAAAGAATTTTTGTATGTATGAGGTTATCGATCATTCGAGAGATCCTAAAAATCAAATTCATATTATATAGGATCGGTATGAAACTGTCAAAAAATTATTTCCGGTAATTACTCCAACCAATCTTATCAGGTAAACAAAATTAATTAAGAATAAATAATTAATAAAACAGATTTTCAGGTTTTCAGGTTATGTAGGTAAATCACTAGTAGTTCATTAGTGATTCAAAGTTTACAACAATTAGCCCACTTCATGCTTTAGTCTATTATAATAAAGATAAAATAACAAGTTTTTTAAACATATAATATTTTAATACTTTTTTCTATGGGGGACAAACAATTTTGACAAACATATTAAACTAACACCACCGATACATTAACCTAACATTATTAATTGATTATTATAGAAATTAAAGGGTTTTTAGCCTAATGATATTAAATGTTGTTCTTTCCCCTTATATCTGAGATTCAAATCTCTTTTGGAACATAAGTGGAATTTAAAACAGATTAGAATTAAATTAAATTTGACGTTCGTAAAAAAATGATTATTACTAAAAAACAATAAATGAAATTTAAAATAATGGGATACAATAAGAAGGAGGTAAAAAAAGAAATTCAATTTGATTATAAATATTATAATTTTATTTGATTGGTACGAGAGATACAATAAGAATTAGAAATGAAGGGTCAAAATAATAGCATACGAAATCAAGCGGGCTTTTCACATAACAGAACACGCATTAGGATTCTCATCACTGAACAACTGTGGAGCTGCCGGATAACCATACACCGATTCCACAACGTATCTCGGAAGGTTTGTTTGGTGACAATTGAATTCAATCTTTCTCAAATCTACGAATTTCGTCTCTTCTCCACCGCTCGCCGCCTCCTTTGGTTGCGCCGCTACTTCGCCGCCGCCACCGGCTTCTTCCGGTTTCTTCTCTTCCTTCTTCTTATTGGCACCGCTTTCCTTTTTCTTGACTTTTGCATCTTTACCTTTGTCGTCTTCAGGTATCTTGGGCTTTGGATCTTGTTTCACAATCACAGTCTGTTTGCCTATTTTCTTGGTAACGTATTCCACCAGTTGCTGCGGCTCAAATGTGCCTTTCACCGCCACCTCTGAACTTTTTAAATCGGCTTCTGCACTTTCCACCCCTGCACAAAAGATCTACTGAATTGCAAAGGAGATATACAATACAGCCAAAAAACGTAAGAGAATCCACACTGGTTAATTTCTATCATAGATTTGTTATTTTTGACTTTTTGTCATGTTTTCTACTAATTTCATTTAACAAAAACTAAACTTAACTGTTTCAAAAACCTTTTTCTGAAAATTTAACTAATTATCTTTATTTATTTGAAATACTTTTGTTAAGTATTCATAAATAAATTTTAGTTTTTAAGCATACATCGTTTTTTATAAGATATTTCAAAAAGAAATATTATTCAGTAAGATTTAAATAATTATATATATTATAATAGGAGATATTATATTATATAGAATATATAATAAAATGGATTAATTAGTAAGAGACAATAGATATTTAAAATTTAAGTGTGTGTTTGGGATTGAATTGTGAAAATAATAATCATTTTTTGGTAAAAGTAATTATTAGATTATATGGCATCAAACACACACACAAAAATTGAATTAGCTTTAACAAAATAATTTCAAGAAAATGATTATTAGGTTAAAATAAAAACATTATTTTCCTTTTGTCTTACGATGGTAAAAATCATTTAAAAAAAAAATCAAAAGGTTGTGATAAGATTTGGTTAATAAGGAATATATTTTAAGATTTTCTAAATTTTGTATTTTAAGGGTGTTTGGGATTGTCTATTTGAAACAACTCATGTTTGTTTATAAAAATGTTTATTAGTATTCGGTCTTAAAATCAAGTTAAAAAATGTTTGAATTAGTTTATCTAATACCAAAACGTAATAAAATGATAAATTGTTTTTAGGTCATGTTTAGCAGACTAACTGAAAAGCTAGTTTACATATTAATAATGTTTGGTAAAAAATAGTTTATAAACTAGATTGCAAATGTAAAATGACTAAATGGAAATTTAGATATGTAACTAAAAACTAGCATTATATATAATTAAGCGTATATTTGAAATGTTTTTGAAAAAACTCTAAAGGTGCGTTTGGTTGTGGAAAACTGTTTTCATTTTCTAAGAAAATGTTTTCAGAAACGCGTTTTCAACATTTTCGTTTTTCTGGGAAAATTTTCTAATTTCTATACAATTTTGGAAAACTGAACGAACCAAACGCGTTTTCAACATTTTTGTTTTTCTTGGAAAATTTTCTTAGAAAATTGGAAAATTTTCCACAACCAAACGCACCCTTAAGAGTGCGTTTGGTTGTGGAAAACTGTTTTTATTTTCTATGAAAATGTTTTCAGAAAATAGGGTTGAGTTTTCATTTTCAATTTTCAATGAAAACGCGTTTGGTTGGAACGGGTGGAGTTTTCATTTTCCATCTTAGAAATTTGAAAAACTTTGGAAAACTGTAAAAATCACTTTTCTAATTTACATACAATTTGGAAAACTGAAAATTTTCATTTTCTTAGAAAACTTTAGAAAACTGAACGAACCAAACACGTTTCCAAAATTTCCGTTTTTTTTTTGGAAAATTTTCCTAGAAAACTGGAAAATTTTCCACAACCAAACACACCCTAAGGGTGCGTTTGGTTGTGGAAAACTGTTTTCATTTTCTAAATGTTTTCAGAAAAGAGAGTTGAGTTTGTGCTTTCAATTTTCAATGAAAATTTTAGAAAACGCGTTTGGTTGAAACCGGGGGAGTTTTCATTTTCCATCTTAGAAATTTGGAAAACTGTAAAAATCACTTTCTAATTTACATACAATTTGGAAAACTGAAAATTTTCATTTTTTTTGGAAAATTTTGGAAAACTCAACGAACCAAACGCGTTTTCAAAATTTCCGTTTTTCTTGGAAAATTATCCTAGAAAACTGGAAAATTTTCCACAACCAAACGCACCCTAAGGTTACGTTTAGTTACAGAAAAACAATTTTCATATTCCGTTTTTTGTTTTCCCTTTTCGATTTTCGTTTTCCGTTTTCATTTTTCATTGAAAAATTTAGAAAACGCGTTTAGTTAAACTTATTCATTTTTGATTTTCAGTTTTAGAAAATTAGAAAACGTGTTTAGATGTGTATTTTTGTATCGGTTTTCATTTTTAGAAAACGGTAGTGGTGGTAGGGTGTGGGTGGGGGAGCTGACGGTAGTGGGTCGGCGGCGGTGGTGGTGATGACAGGCGATGGTGGTGGCGGCGGCAATTGTGTCAGTGGTGGTGAT